TGATCCATCTGATGCTTAGCAAACTAATTCCATGTTGTTTTCCTTATTCCATCTCGACGCATTACCTATCCGAAAAAGAACGTCTGATTTCAAGACTGGCGTCAGGTGTGACCTCGGTAGTTGCGTTTTATGACCACAAGAGGCGCTGCTGTCAAAGACCGACCTAACGGGTGCCACTTCAGGTGCCGATTTTGGTATACTTACTCATTGTGTAATGGCCGAAGGCCGAAGCCGTTCAACAATGGAACCTGCCGACAATTTCCACCCTCTACCATTCACAGCTGGGCACTAGCCACCGACCGGAGGACTTGTTAGTCGCTTCTATCGGACCTGGTCGTGGGCGGTCCCATTGTTTGACGTGTCTGGCGGGTGGGAAAGTCGCGCAGCCACTGTCAGCACCATTGGGTGCTTCCCAGAACGGGGCAGCACAATGAACCGTGCACGGGAGGCACATTGAATAGTGCACGGGGCAGCGGGTGTGCACGGTCAGTGTGCCGTAAGGATGAAGGGGTTTCACCAGATACAAGCTGAGCTACTGTTTGGTGAAACCCCTTCATCCTTACGGACACCATACTGAGGCTCTCAGTTGAAACACTGCACTTTTAAGCGTCACCGAGATGTTAAGGTACTTATTTGAGACATCTGCTCTTGCACGCCAAGGCCCATCAGTGCGCAGAGAAGCCGCCGTGTTCATATGCTCGTAACCATTACCACTTTTCGGCCTTCAGTACTCAGTGAAGCTACTGTGCCGATGGACGCCGTTTACCGACAGAAAATGAAGCACTATGTTGTCGCCGGAGCCGAGCCGTCATGCTCTAAAGGCGAGCTGCAATCCTGATGGGATGCCGTTCAGAAGATATATAATATCGACGGCGATAGGGATCGTGACTGGCCTTGAGCAGCCTGGATCATCATATCGTCTGACGCAACAGGGAATGATGACGGCGCCGTGCGCCACCTTTTACAATATGCATTAAGTTACGTCTGAAATGTATTCGCTTGTAGGAAACCCATTTTCAAAACGAACAAGTTTTGCTGTATTTTTATTTCATATGGGTTGCTTATTTCGAAGGGTGATTGGGATGGAACTTGATTTAATAAGATAAAACTTCTTTATTTAGTAAGTTTCTTCAATTAAATACCTAAATAATCGTGTTTATCAGTAACACATCAGTCCTAAGTGACAGGCAACGACAATCTCCCCTGTCTCAGAATCTCCCCTCCCCCGATAATCTTCCCTGCTCTCCTTCGCTTCTTCTGCCCCAGAAAGACAAAGGTGGGGGCTCCTCTGACCCCTTGAGTGTTGACTGCCCACCCACCGGCCCTGAAGGCGCCCTTGACTACCGACTTACTGTCCCCCAGGGCGCCTCTCTAGTTCCGACCCACCGTCCCCGCAGCGCCCCTCGAGTGCCCACCCACCGTCATCCGAGGCGCCCCTCAGTGCCCACCCACCGTCCTCCGGGGCGCCCCTCTAGTGCCAACCCTCCATCCCCCGCGGCGACCCTCGAGTGCCGACCCACCGTCCCCCGCAGCGCCTCTCCAGTTCCGACCCTCCGTCCCCCGGGGCACCGACTGCAGACGGCTGAGCCGACTGGGCCATCAGTCTACTGCTAATCCCCCTTAACAAGCCCATATCCAAGGCCTAAGCGGCAGCGACCGCGGCTCTAGGCTGCCGCAGATTGGTGTCTGTCAACTTTAGGGCACGGGCCGTGGAGCCGTAGTGAGGTCAATGTAACCGTCTACCACTCTTTGATAGACGAGGAAGCGAAGTAGTAGGTGTATTTGTCAGTACCTGTAAAGTTAATTGCTTTTAGTTCTACCGTTTATTCGACAGCTATTCAGTTGGCCAGAGTCAGTTGATATTTTCTGTACTTCTGTCTCTGGGCATACTGGCGGTAGCTGTTACTATATTGGTTTACGACCATAGTTGGCTGCTTGGCAACTGAGCTACGCTTGCGCTTGTTAATTAAGAGTGTCGAGTGCAATGCGTTATGGACTCCGCAGTGATGTATTTTTAGGTTTTAGACCTCTGTTTTATTTCATTTATTGACCCGAACAAGATATAAATTATCTTCTCTGAATTCACGGCCAACATTTAAACCGACTGAATTAAACAATCAGCATTTTACATGTATGTTGATTTGGACCCGGTCGATGATCGCGATACATGCATTAGATATGGTTAAGCCATAGCTGAGAAGCTGAGTACAAACCTCCTCAATGCAGCCTGGGAGCTTGCATTCGGCGGGAAATTGAGAAGCTCAAGGGGTTTAGTTTATGACGCTTAAAGCGTTTTACATAGCGATAAGAAATCGGAATCACCTCACGTAAGTAAACCAATTATTGGGGTCGGAAAACGCCTACATATACCTACTGAATTTTGTACTGATATCAGGCAGCTAAGAGCAATCTACTCGATTAACCGCTAAGGTCAAACCATAACAGTTCATCTTAGGTTTGTTTTAACATGAAAAAATACAAAACGGATGCTGTTTATGACAAACTGTTATATGAAACAAATGCAGAAGAAAATAAACAAATAGGAGTTACGAACGTTCTTTGCTTCTGAAGATTTTCAACTAAGCTCTACGTCAGATGAACTCCTTTGTTTTTCACACCTTTGTTTGATATTGTCATTGTGTGCAGCCAGGTCGAAGATTAAAGCATTCTAGGTTCCTTCAGGTAAGATTAGTAAGCTTTCAGCATTCTCTTTCATGACGGCCGAGGCTGCTGTGGATTCTTTGAACTTCATTCCACCGTGTGAGCTTGTGATGAGATGTGACATGGTGCCATACCCACAATAATGCCTCCCGTTCAGCTGCCCAGCGTGCTGCGCTTATCGCTGCTCACAGCGTATTAGTTAGATTTGCTCGCATGAGTGGCCAGTTAATTGATCATTTGCGTGAATCGTTTTCGATTGGTCAATCAATGTGATTGCGCTGTCATTGACACAGCTTATGAACATTTACTTCGGTTCATAGCATACGTATGATGCATTGGAGCCGTCAGCTGATCTACAAATCAGTAAAATTTGCAAAGATTTCCAAAAAAAAAAAAACAAATTTTGAAAGGGTGCTCATAAACGCTCATCAGTTGATATTATTACAGCTATTCAGAACCGTTTGTATCATCGTTGAAAAGTGGAACGTTTATTGGAAAAGTGGAAGTCTTTTCAACCGCAGTTGATCATTGATAGCCAGTCACGTATGACTATGTATACCAGCATAAATATGTATATGTCAAAAAGTTCTTGCTTTGTTTTATGCCTGACTAATTTTGCTGCCACCAGGCAAACATATGTGACTACACTCTTAGGCTGCAGCTGCATATCCTTAAATTTTAAGTACATGAGATGGACCGGTGAGTTTTACAGTTATACGTCTGCCAATTAGAGTGTCTCCGGGCGGCTGGCGCTCGGCAGCGGAACTGCTAGAATTGCTGAACTTGCTACATCGCTCACCATAGTTCCGCCGCGCTGCAGTAGTCCATGCCAGCTTCGGCCGTGTCAGCATTTTTATTGGAGGTTTCGTCGTCCCGCTTAGACCATCTGGTGAATTCAAAACTGCATTGGGAACTAAACAGCAACGATTTTAGTACGCTCTGATGCACTGAATTATTGATTCTCGTTCGTGACTGTAACCAATATTGCGTTCGACTATCGCGCATCTATTCACCTTCATGCTCACCTCGGTTCTTCTAGGATGCAGGTATCCAAGTACACTACGCGTTCGTTCGATGTTGAAAGATTCTCGCCGGCCAAGTCTTTCTGTTTTCCCCGAATCTGATTTCCGGACGAGTGACCGGTCGAACTTTACGCCGCTGGTGACTAGATGATTCTTTAATTGGTCGACCGGCCACTGGTGGCGGACGAGGTCACGTGAGGGCCGGCCGGGCGCGGTGCCGGGCACGGGACGGTCTCGGTGGGCCGCTACCGTCGCTGCCGACCCGCCACCGACGGCCGACACCGGTCTGCGGCACCAGTCGTGGCCGACACAGCCGCCGACCGGCACTGCCGCGGGCGCTCTGCACCTCCGCCGGCCCGCAGGGTGACGCCTGAAGTCATTAGTGTCACCTGACGTCATCACCGTCATCAGTGACGAGCTTGTTGTCATCAGTGACGTCATCTTCGTTACCTGACGCCGTCGTCGTGTCACCTGACGTCAGTCATCTGCCAGCCGGTGAGAAGCTCACCTGTCAGCTGACATCACCATCGCCACCCGGTGTCACTGATCTGTGGGTGTCTGAGGTCACCTGTAAGCTGTCATCTGTCACCTGAGTGACGGGTGGAACAAATTGACAGGTTGACAGATCGAATCCCTGTGGACAGCATCCTGCCAAGAACTACTGCGGCTAGTCAGATCAAGACAGTGTGAAGAACTCTCACAGAGGCAGAACAATATTTGAGCTAGTGTGGCTTCTGTCTGCACCATATCGTTAGAACACTTGTGAGGCTCCATCGGTTACGAGCGTGATAAGTAATTCATCAGCTCACCATTCGAAGAATCAGTATTATTGATGTGTCCATTAACATTAATTATTGACACCGAATCAACTGGCGCCTGATGGGCGTGTCCGAAAACTGAATTGCTTGGCTGGCTTCGATTCAGACTGATCGAAAATCGGATAATCCGCCGAATCACCTTCGAATCGCACTCGATTCCGTACTTGTTGTGCGATGCCGGTGGTTAATCTTTGGGAGTGACAGCCGAGTTGTTAAGAAATCACCTCCGTCAAGGACGGCCTCTGGAAGTGAAGTGAATAGCTAGCCGCTGGAACTGCTGGAATGAATAGCTAACCGCCAACACCGACTAGGACTTGTGGAGTTGTACCAAAAACTTGCATTCAGAGTGCATGATGCAAACTCATTTAAACTGGTATTAATACCAGTTTGCTTATAATTATAAGAAGCGGTTTCAGCCCCGCCGATCAGTGAAGTGCAGACACTTGTGTCCCAGTTACTGGGCCTCTCTAAGCTCTGAGCTGACTCCGGTCGGAGCACGATGACGCTTATCTCCGGCTGTACAACCGGTTCGCTGGGGCGGCGGTGGCAGTCACTGCTGCCGCTGCTGGTGGTGACTGTCGTGTGGCTGGACGCCGCGGCTGCCAGCGAGTTTCCTGAGCGCGAGTGCTGCGACTCCATACCTCCACTGCCGGCCCAGTTCACTACACCGCCGGTGTCTGTGGCCACCGAAAAACCCAAGACGAGCAGCACTTCAACAACGACGACAGCCAAACCAACAGGTAGGCGCTCGTTACACATTACAGACAACTTCACCCTCATATTGTTTATATGATCCTTCGCAGTTTGCTATTGGTAAAGAAAATCATTCTGTACTCATTAGCGTCGTAAGAACCGAACTCCTACCCGCCCGGCTACTATATGCTTCTGCCTATCAACATCATCCAAGCCTATTGGCAATGTATGGTAACTTTGCGTCATTGCCACCTAAACTTGAGTGCGGCATACACCTGACATGCTCTTTTTGTAAAACTTCAGTTACACAGAATCTATCGCAGTGCCATTTTCGGACATGACGTAAGTATGCTCGACCGATTCGATTAGTTACCGACCGGCTCGTCTCTTTCGGCATAGCATACGTCAATTATAATCCAAGGCGAAGGAAACGGTTTGAGAGATAAATGACATGCGTTGAGATGGTACCCACAATCACTGATCTGGTTTCCCTCTGACTTTGATATAGATCCTTTCATCTTTTCATGAGCTAGTCGATGTCTCGCACCTGCTTACGAAGCTTGATGCACACTGCGAGCGAGAAAAGCTCATCGTTGAACAAGACGGTATGATTGTACGAGTATGATTGAATGCTGTATTGATCACCAACACGTAAAATCTCATGAACAGATGAAGCCACAGCTTTAACTAATGAGGTCGCAGGGATAAAAGAGCACATACCCTGTCAATTGTACGCAGTGTGGCAAATCAATTGATTGCAAAAGCAGTCGGCTATCATTTGCCGTTATTCCAGAAACGAGGACACTATTAGGCCTAATTGAACTGTTCATTCGTATCAATTTATCCAAGCATGCCTACTCTCTATCATGCAATTAATGTGCAGAGAAGCATTTGCTGGGTACCCGGCGCACCACTGTGTGACCAGGCAACAGCTATGGAGCTGACCTTGCATCACGGTTCGGCCCAAATGACACCTTCTGCGGTATAGCTGTCTGAGCAGCGCGGAGGCAGTCAACGAATGAAGCCATGAAGCCGCCGTGCAATTTGAAATGGCACGCCACCAATGCCATCCCCACGGCGACATTGGACGGCGAGATATCCTCGGAGTCGGTCATACATTCCGTGTTGGTCGGTATCGGAGATACGGTAACATCAAATCGCCGGCGTGGATGACGGCCATTTCGCGGTCACCGGCACTCCGGACGGCGGCAGGGCGGTCGGCTGCCAAAAAGGCCGAGCGCTGCCAATGAACGGCCGACCTGCGAGCACGCTGTGGGCCCGACAGTATTATATGAGGTCGGCGCAGGGATCACCGGTGGTGTAAATTTTTCAGAGTGGGTTCCAAGGATCGGAACCGAACGCCATTTAAAATGTTGATCAAGGTGACAAAAGCTCAATATCAACCTTATCAAAATCTAATCGTTTTTGATCTTATTTATTGACACATCACTTTCTGAATTTGGTATTGAAAATATGTGATTTGCTTGTCATTTACGCGTCGTCTGGCACAAGCATTAGTAATGCTTATAATTGTTCGCATTTACGACGCAAAGTCATCGATTGAAATAAATCACTCAGCAGAGATTATCTGATGTGTCGCTGTCTTTTTAGGTCTTGTCATTTAAGCTCGGCTGTTGTCATTATCGCTGTTGAACAAGGGCTTTCCAATGGAAAACAGACATTTGTATCTATGCGTTCAGTAATGTTGGTTAAATGAAAGCCCCCAGCACCGATAGCGCTCTTAACCAATCATCATGATGTTTGATCAATGCATAGCTAAGCTCCGAAGAAACATTCATAAGAGGTATAGCGCCTTCCTCGTTTTCAAATCACCATTATCATTCTTCTCTTGAAACAAATGATATGATGTTAGGAACTATCGAACTGAGGGACCAAGTGGAGCGCCTGAACAGCCACTGTCCGACACGCATAGCTAATGGAGATCGACCTCCATGCATGATTTAGCCGGCCGCTGGCGCCGCCATTGATTGACCGGTCGGTCGACTCCATAAAATGGGCCGCGCCGGGTCGACCGGCCGCGCTGGCCGCCGGGCCGGTCAATTGGCACGCCCCAGGTGCGCCGCCAATGCCGCGCGTGATCAAAATGCGCCACCGCGCCGCCGGATTCCTCAGTTTATGTTGGTCGTTTTACGTGCGCTGCCAGCTAACGGAGCGACGCCATGCCTCCGTATAGAGGCAGCAACGGTCTCACCTCTCCAGTTAGCGAGTCGTGGCGCTGCGTCCCCTAGAAAATGTCAACCGCTGTCGAGAAGAAAAAACGGGGAGTTTGAATTTGTGTATGGACCCTGCGCCGACTTTGCAGCATTGAATGATATGATGATGTGTATGTGTATTTAAAGACTCGCAGCAACTGATTCTCTCCCGAATTCAGACTTCTGAATTCCTTGGAAGAACGTGTAAAAACAGTAAACACAAACTTTCTCAGCCCACATACATAACATTTCTGAAACTTTATTCGCATCAGTCTCCACGAAAAATATGTGGTGATATTTAAATAACCATTGATAAGCGGTGGCGCTGCTGCGTCCGTTTCGTGACACATTACGGCAGATGCCGCTAATGAAACCCCCGGGGACCACCGATGACAGAGAACCAGGGTTATTCCGGTCGGCGCGGCCTCAGAGGAGTAATCTCCTCAAATCTGGCCCTGGCACGCCGCTCAAAGGGGGCTTCTGTCGCCTCCCGGCTAAGTGGAGGCCGGCCGGCCGGCGAGCGGCCCACATAGGATGCCGCCACTGCTGAGAGGCCGCATATGAGGCCAAGAGGTGGTCAAATAAAGGATGGTCAGAGTGGCGTCCGACGGGAGCCTCTTCTCCTCCAGTCCTGCTAGAGCGGGATAGGTCACCCGGCGTTACCAGAATCTCTGCATCACGGAAATGAAAACCAGTAGCGCCTAAAAACCTGCAGCCGAAATGCTCAATCAAGCATCCTCAAGATCTCATCATCGTCGAGTTAGACGGCCAGCGATAAAACTCAATTTATGGGGGCGTATTGATGACCGATGCTGCAATGCATTACATTGGTCTGCTTCGACTGTCAACTGGGCTATTCCACTTTAGATATCCATAGGTTATCTGTACGGTGATTTAGTCATTGGAGTAGATACCTTCCTTCAATGATATTGTCCTTGTCTAAAGCTTTGTCAAGCTTGAAATAGATAACTTAATATATCTGCAGCGTCTCAGATATTGCCGATCATCTGCCGATGATCTGAAGTCGGCGTTCGAATTATCAAGACTGCATGTAACAGGCGCTTTCTGTGATGGCGAGCGGCGGCTCTCCTCTCTGGAGAGTCATAAGGACAAGTGTTCAGACAGAACCGCGCGCTGCTGACGACCTTGTCAATCGGATCGGCTATAGGCAAAATGGCCCGAACATATCCCCCGTGATATAGGATAGCAGGCAATTTCCACCATCTAAATGCAATGGCGGCTTCTGGGAAGATATTTCAGCGAGTTTCGATGGCCAGCGCGCTGCAGACTGCCGGCTACAAATGAGGCCATCGCGCAGAAGTTTATTGTAGTCAAGTCATCTCGTTCCCCACGCTAAGCCAATCTGTCCGGCGCCCCAACTTTGTAGGTCAAATGCTGAAGTTTGTCCGAAGTTTTACACCAGGATAGACTGGAGCTCATGGTTTTTGCGTCCAAGACATGCTAAATTGCACATTTCCTAGACGCGGAACCTCTGGGAGAAAATGAGAGGGGATTCCTGAGCCTGCGCACCGCGCCGGCGGCGGCAGGGCCCCGCGCCGGCCCGCGAGGGGTCCAATGGACGCAACCAAGTGCACCAGCGCCGGACCAGGGTACAGTCCTTGCGAAGCTAGGCTAAAAACGATAACCCAAGAACAGAAGCAAGCATGGTGATAGATAAGTAATTGGTCGCTGGGAGAAGGAATGGTCGGCGACCCGCGGCACATGGCCAGCCTATGATTCGCAAAATCTGCTTGCGGCGACGAACACAGCGCCCGAACCGCAGAATTGGTCCCTATGGACCTAGAATGCGGTATTAATTGGTTAGACCAGCGGAATTTATAGCCAACTGAAAAAAAAAACGACGGCCGTGGCAGACCGAGATCCCACCGTGCGGCCCGGGGAGGGTACAAGATAAAAGGCGCTGCTTCGGCACATCCAGCCGCGAACAAAGACGATTCACACTCACCTGCCGCGCGGATCACAGATGCCGCCGCGCGGATTACAGGTGCACGGTTACCGTGAGAAATTAATTTCAAACACAAAAAATATGATGTCTTCGTGCGGTGCACACCCGCATACACGCTGACAAAGACTGAGACATCTGCTCATCCCCTGCTCCGTGACCGCGCGGGATTCGCCAAGTTGGCGAGCGCTTAAGTTAGCGCTCTCCGTTCGGGCCCGTTTTTGCGGTCGCTTATGACGACCGATAAATGCGTTTATGAGCCGCTGTACATAAACTGTCATTTAAGTACCTTGTTAGGCGATCGCTTTCAAGCGTAAAACACCTACCAATCTAAATACCCGGTCTTAAATTTGTCCGAAAATTTATCATTTTTATGTGGGTGCATCAATAGAACATATAATTGAGTTTCTACGCAGAAAAAGCGATATAAAATACTCAATACATGTCGATCCATATGACGACGTGGCATTATGATTAGGCGTAAGTTATTTAGAAGAAATAACAATGCAACTTGACTTGCTTTGTCGTCCCTGCAAGAGTTCATGGACACCTTTTATGATCGTTGTGTAACCGCTATACCTATTTGTGGTGTCAATCGGAACTTGAATCTTCGGAATTCCGATTTTGTCCAATGTCCAATTTGGAATTCTGTTGGACAATGGCAGCAGGCTTTGGACAACTTTGGACAATCGCTTGCTACACCTCAACATTTTTAAAAAGTAATCGCGTTTAACATTGATTGGCTATTAGAAAGCTTAGCTTTCGATATGCTTAACACTTTTGAGCTGGTAACGGTACATGAAAAGCAAATTAAATAACAGTGTTGAGTGTAAACTATTGCGTAGGTGTCGGACATCTTTGGACAAATGGC